GTTCAAGGCCAGCCTGGTCTACATAGTGAGTTCCAGGACAGTTGAGGCTACAGGGAGACCCTGTCTCAAAAAGACCGAAAAAAAAAGCTGATTGTTAAATGAGAATAAGCATAGGCTCCTTAAGGTTAAGTCTTGAAAAGCTTACTCCTTACCAGTGTGTGACAGTGTGACAAATTTGAACTCTATAAATTTGAATTCCACAAATAAAACGGCATTCTATCATGTGTCCCTCCAATAGAATAATTATGGAACTTAAGATAGTCACATTCAAATACATGTCATTTGAAGAATTTTTTAAATTATGTGTATGGGTGGGGGCATTGTGCAGTGCCTATGGAGGCCACACGTATCAGAACCCCTGGATCTGGAGTTACAGGGGATTATGAGCTACCTTGTGTGGGTGCTGGGAACCAAACTACAGTCCCCTACAAGAGCACTGTGCACTTTTAATCACTTGAGTCATTCCTCTATTCTCAAATGCATGTCTAACCTCTACTATAAATAAGTGAATCTTATGTCCTCTAACTCCAAATGTTCAAATCTAGGATCCTAACTAATTGGATCACTGGCTTATCATAGGAATATGTCTTTGATTCTTTCAGCAAATTTTGTTAACCACTTTAATAAAGGTATAATCATCTTTATCAAATTTCTAATGACAGGTGATGACAATGTGAAATTCAGATGTAATTTTTAAAATAATCTCAACCAATTTAAACAACTTTTTTTCTCCATAGTATTCCAAGGGCATAGCACATAGACTGCCGTGCAGAAGACCTCAGAAATTATTTGTTAAATGATAAATGGAAAAAATTGAATGGGTTAAAACTAACAAGGTGAAATTTATTTTTTAAATATATAATACTTTGTTCAGATAAAGAACAGACTAAATTTGGTTTGTTAACAATCTAGATAAGTATCAGTCAGATACAGTTTATTACCAGCTCGATTTAAGTCAAGTCCAATTAACAAAGGTAAAATATCTAGAAAACTTAATTTAAATGTCTTTTCCTCTTCTCAGATCATGTGTAAAATATTAAATTTCATATGGACACCACTTTCCAACACTGACATTGGTAAAGCAGTGCTCAAATAGTCTGGCCTGGCACTCACTATGTACACTAAGCTGGCCTGCCTCTGCCTACTGAGTGCTGACCCTGACTGCTGAGAAAAAAGGCATGTGCCACCACACTGGGCAGAACTATCTGGGATTTTTAATTTGAAAAAAGCATCATATATTCAGAGATCAGTCATACAGAAGTTCTGTTATGGTGTTTCTGTATCCCACTCAAGGAAAGCATACTGAAGACATAGGGAAACAGCTCTGCTTTCCTACAAAGATAGTACTTCTAAAAGAGCTGTCCAAAAATGGACTATTCTACCTTACAAAGAAAGGAACATTTCATCACTTTAAGAGTTCAAGAGAAAAAACTAGTCTGCCAGGGGCTTTTGCAGAGCACTAATCATTGTGTCAGGCAGGCCATTAGCATGGGTGAATTAAGACCCTTCCTGGCCTGATTCTCTGGTTTTGTGATTCCTGCAGGTCTTGCTCCCTCATCTTCAACATTATCATAATCTTTTCATGAGTTCATGATTTGTCCTCTTCCCACTTTATGCCTCATCAAGTCTATCTATCTTTATTCGGACAAGTTTTTCTTTCTTCCTTTTTTCTTTCTTGTCCTTTCTTTCTTCCTTCCTTCATCTTTTTTTATTCACTGTAGCCTTTGGGAATAGAACACCGAGCCTGTGCAGGCGTGGCAATGCTTTCCCACTCAGTCACATTCCCAGCCTCACAGCCCATTCTTAGCTATTCCTGAGACAATCTTTCTGTGCTGTTTAATTTTATGCGTCACCTTGCCTGTGCTGAAGGATACCTAAAAAGCTGGTGAAACAATTTATCTATGTGTGTCTGTCAATTTATCTAGGTGTGTTCCCAGATGGTCTTAGCATCAGCAATGCAGGTAAAGTCATCCAATCCTGTGAAATTCTGAATAGAACAAAAGTATGGAGGAGGAGTAAGTTTCCTCTGTAAGCTACAGCTTGCAAGTTTCCTTGCACTCACTGGAGATTAGTGCTCTTCTGTAGGGATGTTTGAACCATTTATTCCTCTACACTTCCCTACTTTTCCAATCACTTTCATCTGTTTCCATGGCATATTCCACTCTCTTTTAACCCATGAATCATATTTCCATTCAATTATCACTGTCTAAATCTTTCCAATTTTTCCATACTATCAATAGTAAAGTGTCAGAGTCCAGGTCTGCAGACGACCCTCTCCCAGTGTCAAAAAGCCTCACAAGAAAGGCCATGAGGGACCCTTTGCAAAACAGGAACTGGCCAGACAGCTACATTTAGAGCTGTCTCAGCACAAAGCTGTTCCCCAGATAGTTTTGGAAGATAAACAGGACCCTGCACCCAGACCCACTGATGTCAGAACTGTCTCAGTTCAAGCTACTTCCCTTGAAACTAAAGATTATTTTTGCCACCTTTCACATTCCCCTACCCCCTTATAAGAACTTCCTCAGTAGTCAGAGGCTGCTGGTTGCCTTCCTCTCCCCAACTGAGCTGCCAGCCACCAGCAATCTTAAGAAATAAACTTTGCTTTACTGGAGTCCTATGTTTCCTGTGGCTATTCCCTGCCCAGCTTTTATCTAACATAAAGGATATTTTCACATGTAGTACAGAGCAGAATAGGAATCGGACTTAAAAAGAATAAAATATGTGATCTGCAAGAATAAAAAGTGGATAAAACTGGAGATCACTACATCAAGTGAAATAAATTTGGCACAGAAAAACAAGAATCCCATGAGTTCACTCATATACGTGACCTAGAAAATTTAATCCCGTAGAAGTTGAGAATAGGATGGTGGTTTTTAGAACCCTGGAAATGTTTGCTCATGAAGTACTAAGCCACAGGACTAAGGTCTGGTGTAGTCACAATAGGATGACTACAGATAACAACCATATACTTAATATCTTAGAACACAAGAAAAAAGGATATTGAATGTTTTTCACCATGGATAACATGAGCAAAAATTAGATGCACAGCATAATTTAACTGTTCTACATGTTCTATGCCCATATGCATATATTAAAACATCACAAAGCATCTCATTACCACGTATGTTGGGAAACCCTGCTGTTAAGGTAGGCTCCTTTCTCAGCTGGAGCTTCCTGCCTGACTTACCTGGAAAGTGCCGCCAAGCACAGATGCTTGGCCTCATTTAAAACATGACCTTTGGCATAGTTACCTGGAGTAAAAACTACCCCCAGGTTTTTTCTATATGATAATTAGGCATTGCCAGATGGTTGGATGAAAGGAGCCTACTACCACATGTAAAGCACACTGTGAGCACCTATCAGCTGAAGCATTGGCTACTGCCTCCACACTATATTTTTCCACTGAATAAATGGAGCTGTTTCACTGAGTCTGGAGCTGTTTGTATCACTGAACCTGCCTCCCCGGAAGGGCTTTCTTCTGTCAGTGCTCACTGGCCATCCTGACCCTGTTCGTTGCTTCTGCTCCCTTTGTCCTCATGGGTCATTAGCCACCGTTCCACGAGGAGAGGGAGAGACCCCACATATGTACAATTTTGTTTTTAAGTCAGTTAAAACACAATTTTAAAATGAGCCTGAGAATGAGTTACAAACCACATACATAGCGTATAGTCAAACATCAATTATCTGCATTATCTACATATCAAAATATGATTTGCACACAACCACAGCTATTGGAAAAATTTTATAAGAAGCAGAACAATCCCCAAATCTACACAAAGTTCATTCTTCAAAGGAATCTTCCATTCTCTAGAAAGCAGCCATCTCCTAAAGATCTTCAACAAAGCAGATATTGGCCAAGAGTGAAATAACCTCCATTCAGGTTTGTTCCCCATTCAAAATATCTGATAATGGAGACTGGCAAGATGGCTCCATGGATAAAATGTTCCCCACACATGCACAATCTGAATTTAGGTCCCCAGAATTCATGAAAAAATAGCTGGACTTCATGGTACCTGCCTATAGCTCCAGAACTGGGAGGAGGAGGCAGGACTGCAGGGGCTTCCTGACCAGCCTACCGGAAAGGGGGAACTCTTTCTTAGTTTACTGAAAGACTGTGACTCAACTATAAGGTGGAGAGAGATAGAAAAAGACAGAAGCACTTGGGAGGCAGAGGCAGGCGGATCTCTGTGAGTTCAAGGCCAGCCTGGTCTACATAGTGAGTTCCAGGAGAGCTGGGGCTACAAGGAGACCCTGTCTCAAAAAGACCAAAAAAAAAAAAAAAACCCAGAAGAAAGGTAAGTAGGTACTTTAAGACACATTATGTATTTGTTCATTGGATACGTTATCTAGACCAATATATTTCATGAATAAGAAAGTAAAACACCCTTTACTACCAATAAGACTTCTGATTAAAGGGGGAACTGGTGAGGTACAAAAGTGAATGTGAATGGATGTCTCCTATACTGAGCTCACTGTAGAGGGGAGTGCTACCTTTGCTTCCCAATCCTGTCCATCCCCTTATTTGACAGAGTTTATCTTCCTCATAAGAAAGATAAAAGAAGCTCTAGTACATAAGAACCCAACCTCACAGCGTTTATGAGATCCAAATGGATTCGCTTTGTGCAAACAAAACAAAAACTTGATTGAGTAGCATGTCCCCAAAGGTACTTGGCTTTTGGCCCAAGTAAAAGTTAACCTGGTGGATTGCTCAGGGTTAATAACAGGCAGAGAAAGTATATCCTCTCCCCACAAGCAAACGGAGAACAGGAAGAAAAAATAAACAACTTAATTTTCCCTCGGCAGAGACGGGGTCCACGCAATATGCAAGACTGCGACTGTGGAGCGGGACTCCTCTCCTACAGTCTGCAGCGGGACCGCCGCCAGCCCCTGCCCAGAACGCAGCTCCGACGCACAGAGGCCACGCCCCAGCGGAGGGCGGCGCCGGGCGACTCGGTCCGCCTGCACCGCGTGTTCACGAGCTGCGTCAGCGCGAGGTCTCTTGGCCCTCGCCGCGACCCGTCCCGCTGGGCACCCGCCGCAGCCAGGCCGACGTGTCAGCCGTTGGAGGCGTCTGGGCGTTCGTGAACGTGATGGCGGATGCCTGGGAGGAGATCAGGCGGCTGGCGGCCGACTTCCAGCGGGCGCAGTTCGCCGAGGCCGCGCAGAGGTGCTGGTCCCCTCCGGTGTTGAGCCAGCCGAGCCTCCCGGAGCCCCGCGGTCCCCCGCCGTCCCCATCCCCGAGCCCCCGAGCGCCACCCACCTCCCGGTCCCCTGCCTCCTTAAACTCGGGCCGCGTCTTCCCGGCTCCGTTTTGGCCTCTGCTGTCAGTCCTGGGGCCGGAAGCGGACCTAGAGGAGCGCCTAGCGCGGACTTGAAAGGAGACCGAGTGCCTGTTGAGCCAGACCCACCACGCCAACTGTTGTTTTTCGGGCGTTCAAGCCGCTCACGTTTCTACACACGCACGAACCTTTGGGGGAGTATCCAGACACCCAAGTCCAGCTTTCCAGTATTACAGATCACATACATGATTCTGCTGATAAAATTATTTTTGTCTGTAAACGAGTCCTTATTCCTCTTTTATTCCTTATGGGCCTAAAAACTAGTCCCTTGATGCTGTGTTTTATAGAATTGAGAGCTGCAAACCGACTTAAACAGAACAAAAACAAGAAAACAAAATCCAGGGCTAGGGTTTTGCTAAGTCAGATTCCTAGTCAGTAGACCAAGTGCACGAGTGTTTAAAAGTTTGCTTCAAAATTAAAAGTACAGCAGGTATTGTTTTTTTTTTTTTTTTTTTAACCCAAATAGCATGTCCACAGTTTTTATATTTCAAGACAGAAGCCAGGACTAGAAGAGAAAACCTTCACAATCGTAGTTCACTGATGTGTTATCAATTAAGAAAACTATTTTAAAGTGTATGTAAACGTGTTTACTCGAGTTTTCGTTTTAAATTATTCAATCAGTATACTAATAAAAGATTTTGTCATGTAGAAGTTATTCAAAGTTTTTGGAAGCCTGCTTTCAAACAATTTTATTGTGTAGCATTGTATCAAGTACACTGTTTAAAACTTTCCGAATTTCTCTCAGGTTGTCAGAGCGGAACTGCATTGAGATTGTGAATAAATTGATCTCCCAGAAACAGCTAGAAGTAGTTCATACACTTGATGGGAAGGAATATATCACTCCAGCCCAAATCAGTAAAGAAATGAAAGATGAGCTCCATGTCCGTGGTGGTAAGTTATTTTTGTTTTTGCTGTTTTGAGACAGGGTCTCCCTAGAGCCCCAGCTGGGCTGAAACTTATGCAGACCAGGCTGGCCTTGATCTTACAGAGATCTACCTGCCTCTGCCTCCTCAGTGCTGAGATTAAAGGTGTGTGCTACCACGCCCCACTTGGCAAGTGATCTCTTAGTGTTCTGTTATTTTTCCTGAATGTCCAGGGGGAAAAAGACACATTAAAATCATAACTAAATCAATTCTTTTGGAGGTTATAGAACATTCTCTTCTGTTTTTTGTTTTGTTTTGTTTCCTCCCCTTACTGTTGGAAATCAAACCCAGGACCTTGGTACATGCTGAGCTGTATCCCTTCTGAACTGTTAACTTGATAAACATCGTTTTACTAGATTCGTGCAAACAATATCTTAAAATGTCATAATTTAACAAATACTATTGTTTTTAGTTAAATGTACTGTGTATGTGATTTTTTTTTCATAATTTACTAAATGACCCAGAGATAGATAGTAGCTACCAATGATCAGGTGTTTAATTGTACAGAGGAAAGAGATTTTATAAGATTGTAGGTTCTCAAAAATTAAGGCTGTATTACTTAAAAAGAAAAACTTTGTATTTACAAATTCAGTAACTCATTGCAGTCTGGTGTTATGTCCATATGAAATGCTATTATGAACAAACACAAAAAGTTGTTTTTGCTTTGTCTTTTTTAAATTTGAACAACATTGAGCAAATGGTACACAATGTCACTGAAACAGAAACAGTTCTTTGTTAAATGCTGAGCATAGTGCATCCTTGGTGTTTGTTCTGTTTCTTCTTTTTCCTGCAGCAGTATTAATAAAATTGGAGCTGTTCTTTGCAATATATAACAGATTTCTTATGCTGATACTTCACCTTTCAATTTCAAATAATTGGAAAGTTCCATTTAATTTAGTTGCAGATATTTTCTTTGGTCTTTTTAGATAAATTGTCAGTTGTGAGAAGAATTGAACTTCCATAGGTTTATCTAGCTTGTATCATTTGGTACTCATAATTGGGTCTGATGTGGTAAAAGCAGCTTTGTGAACAGTATTGACTATGGTTTTAGCCATGAAGATTGATCAGCTAATGATTACATTTGAATACATTGTATACTGTCCTGTGTCCTGTGTGGAGGATTTGGATCTATCAAAACTTAAATCTGTTAGAACTTAGGTTGTTTGAGTTGCACTTAAATGTAACTTAAAATAAATGCTTGTCTTTTGTTTAAAGGTCGAGTGAATATTGTTGACTTACAGCAGGTAAATTTACAAAATTTTGCTTTAATTTTTAATATACTTCATACTAAGAATTTGTTTAGTACTTTGAAAGTATTTACTAGTACTTGTGTCTTGTATCAATTGCTATTTGTGAAAAAATAGTAATATAACCTTCACTGATACACAGAGTTGATTTAGTAAGTTTTACTTTTTGGGGTAATTTGCACCTTTTAAAAAATATTTTGTTTATTATTTTTATTTTATGTGTGTGAGTGTATTGCCTGCATGTATGTAAGTGCACCTGTGTCATGCTAAATTTGTTCCTTATTTACCAAATAAACTCAATAGTTACTATGTTAAGTAATCACAAGTACTAGTA